TGTCCTCATAGACTGCTGTCTGCAAGAGAGAACGTACAACCCTTTCTACGCATTCCTGGCGGGCAAGTTCTGTGACTATGCGAGGAGCTTTCAGGTGACAGCTGGGAGGCAGGCTGCCTGTGTCCCGCTCTCCTGTCTAACCACTCTGGCTGACTCGGCCCACCTGGGATGCGGGCCCTGAGTCAGGGGCCACCCCAGCCAAGAGCTGTGTGCAGAGGGTCGCACAACCTGAGCCGTGTCCCCATGTCACCTTTCCCTGTCACAAATGAGGGGTCATGACCCACTTAATCGGCGAGTGCCTCTGGTTTATGTTGCACCATCTTTTTCTAATGTTTCTACTGATTTAAGGGAAAATACTGTAATAGAAAGAAATTACTGTGAAGCTATTTCAAACTACTGTATATAGGAAAGGAGAGTGTAGTTGCTTCTAAAAAGTCTTGATTTTTAGGATATTTTAAGTAACTGAATACAGTACCTTTGGATTATATTTTTAGTGATTTATTCTAATAATTTGTTGAATTTTACCTTTTTTTGTTGTTGTTTTTCTTTGTTTTATATTAGATGACATTCCAGTTCAGCATATGGGACAAATTTCGGGACTTAGAAACTTTGCCAGCCACTAACTTCTCTAATTTGGTTCACCTGGTGGCCCACTTGTTGAAGACCAAGTCACTGCCGCTTTCCATTCTAAAGGTGTGTGTAATGTGCGAGCTGATTTGAAGCCTGAAAGTGATGGCGTTCGCTTGAGCCTTGAGCCCCGGGGGTGCGCAGGGGCACCGACCCCCTGCACAGTCGTAGCCCGAGTGTAACTTTACAGTCGGCCTCCGAATCCTGGTTCCACACGTGATGATTCAACCAACTTTGGAACGTGTGGTCCTGCAGTGCGTATTTAGTGAAAAATGTCCTCGTGTAGGTGGACTGCACAGTCCAAAGCCGAGTTCAGGGGCCAGGTGTAATTCTGTATGTTTGGTACCTTAAGAATATGCGTTTCCTTAGATCCTGACTCACCTGGAAAACACTCTCATTATCAGACCATCATAGGAAATCGCCAGATGAGCGCGCGGTGTAAATTTGCCTGGTAGCTCAAGGCGCCATCGCGGTTGTCTGCTCCTTTACGTGAATCAGCCTCGGGACTTGCGGTGCGTGTGCAGGCCATCATGAGTCCCGCGGCGGCCGCTGCTCCGTCAGGAAGGAGTGGGGATGTGGGAGCTGTACAGAAGCTGTGCTTCTGCCACTCCTCCCTTGGCTGTGGCGCGTCTTTCAGAGCAGGGGCATCCTCGCCCCTGTTGAATTCCCACGTTGACTCGTCAGAGACAATGAAACGCAGATGCTCTGGAGGTGGTCCGGGGTGGGCAGCGAAGCCTAGACATGAGAGGCGGGTCACGGTGGCCTGGGCAGTAGGACCTCGGGGGTCTGGGGGTCCTGAGGGTGTGGACTGTGGGAGAAGCTGAGGGGCAGGCATAGCTGGGGGCCCAGCCTCTTGCCTTCCGCTTCCTGATCCTTGGGACAGGCTAGGCTGCGGTTTCCCGTCTGTGTTGATGTATTTGTTCACCAGAGCGCCGGTCGAGTTAACTGCATGTTCCTTAGAGATGTGCCCTTGGGTTTTGGCTACTGTACTGAAAATGAGGGCCAGAGCCTCGTCCCACATTCCAGAACTGGGGAGAACTTACAGCACGGAGAGCTAGTGCCTTCTTGCTGAGGGGAGTCTTGCCTTCAGTTCACTTGAGTTTGAGCTCAGAATGGAACAGGATGTGGCGTGTCCCTCAGATGCAGCAGGTCCTGGAGACTCCTTGAGGCAGCCCGGCCCCTCCGTACCTCACGGGGCTCTGGCTGTAGGCAGCACTCTGGCTGTAGGTGTCTGCATGTGGTTAACCAGGCTTTTGATGTCCTTTTACAGTTATTTAATTTGGCATAAGGTTGAAATTTATCCATGTTGATATCTGCAGTTCTGTCCTTAGATTTTATTACTGCTGTATAGTATTCCACTGTATAAGTATACTATGATTGTTATATATAGGAATTAGTCTCTTCTGGGTCTAAATTGTGTGTGTGTGTGTGTGTGTGTGTGTGTGTGTGTGTGTGTATGGTTTTAATTAGGGGATAGTTTCTTTAAGGCATGGAGATAATCTACGTTTCAACTCCAGGAATGAGATTCCTGATTCGCTAGGTACCCATCAGCCCCCTGGACCTGACTCAGCACTGCCGAGTTGCTCTCACCAGTGGTGTGCACGCCCTGCAGCAGTGCACCAGTGGTCCCAGGGCCCCGCGTCAAATGACAGCTGTTCATTTTATAAAACTGGAAATAGCCTTAGTTGAGGGGCAAGGGGAGCGATAGTTTTTTACTCAAACTATAATCAGAAATCACTGCAGAGTTGGCTCCACAGTGTAACTTTATTATTTTTTATCCGGACTGTTAGGTCGTTGAATTCAGTGAATTGGACAAACCCAGAGTCCACTTTTTACGAAAAGTGTTACATACGCTGCTCATGGAAACGGAAGTTGAAGACCTTGGTTTAATTTTTGGAAGGTTTGTTCCCAGCTCTCTCGATAAAACGTGGGAAAGAGGAGAGAAATTGTTTTCACCTGTGTTGTTTTATAAAAGCAAGTTTGTTGTACTTACATGTAGCTTTTCAGTTTTAATTTTAATAATATCCTGAACATTAATTTGGGGAACATGAGACTTGCCTAATAGCAAACAGAAAATGATTTCTGACAGATAGGATATTAAGTTCTTACTTGAGAATTCTGACCGGATGGAAACTAGGTATGTCCCCTGCTTCGGGGTCCCTAGGGCTGAGACGGGGGCCGGCTGGTCACTGACGCGTGTCCCTTCCTCCTCAGGGTGTCCGACAGCCCCGCGCTGGGCCTGCTGCGGGAGGGCCTGAAGCTCTTCATCAGCCACTTCCTGCTGAAGGGCGGGCAGGCCCACGGGGGCGCCAAGGAGGCCAGCGCACTGCGGGAGAGAGCCGAGCTCTGCGCCGGGGCCCTGCAGGGGAGGGCGTCCCTGAGGCCATAGCCGGGGCCAGGGGCCAAGGGGTGCTCATTCGCCTGCGATGTGGGGCCGCAGCACAGTCTGTCGTATTTAAAATACTCTTATTTTGGGGCTGCCCTGGTGGCGCAGTGGTTGAGAGTCCGCCTGCCGATGCAGGGGACACGGGTTCGTGCCCCGGTCCGGGAAGATCCCACATGCCGCGGAGCGGCTGGGCCCGTGAGCCATGGCCGCTGAGCCTGCGCGTCCGGAGCCTGTGCTCCACAATGGGAGAGGCCACAACAGTGAGAGGCCCGCGTACCGCAAAAAAAAAAAAAAAACAAACCAAAAAACAACTCTATTTCGGTATTTGTGTTTTGAACTGTCTTCAAATACCTATGTTTATATCTCTAGGAGGCAGGGGAGAGGGAGGGAGGGGCGGGCCCGGGGCAGCGATGATGCTGCCCAGGGGGTGTGCCAGTGCCTAATTTTCTAACAGACAAGCCTCTAGAGGGTGCAGTTACAAAGAAATGGATGGCGTTTTTATTTATCTTTTATGTATTGGTTAAAAGTTCAGAAACCGTCAGTTAAACATTCCTGAGGTTTGATTGATTATTTCAAGTACTTGGAAGGCACGTGTTCTGGAAGAGTCAGCAGTTGACTCAAGCCTTGCAGGTGTGGGTGCAGCACAGCGGGGGGACGATCCTGGTTCCTCACCTGAAGTTCTGACGTGGGAAAGGACATCTTCCTTCCCCGCGAGTGTCTGTCACTTAGACCCATCGAGTCCAGGTGTGATGCACCTTCCCGAACAACTTTGAAGTCACCAGACAGACACTGGACACAGCAGGTGCCGCCTGCTGAGCGGCGTTCTCAGGATATAAACACGCACGGGACAGAACCGCCTGCGAGGGATGAATGTTCAGGATGCACCTAAGATATAGCGGCTCTCTCCCTCCCTTCCTGTGCTCATGGACAGAGAGAAAGCAGATGAAGCAAAGTGTTCATTGTTGGGTGAGGTTTATACACATGAAGTATATTTTTATAGTTTTTCCTTAAGTTTTAAGTTATTGCAAAATAAACAGTTTTCATAAAGCATTCATAATGCAGAACACATTCTTCAGAGGTCTAAAACGTTCCAGTGTCTTTTCATGAAAATAATTAACCTAATTCAAATCACTTCTGCCCCTTTTGTAAAAAATAATAATAATAATTAGGCCTTACTGTAAAGCAGTGACACTGCTTCTGTTGGTTTACTTCACTGGTGAGGTGCCCCTGGGTTAGCGGGAAGAGCCGGAAGGGATGGAGGGAAGGCCCTGCTTGTTGACCGTGACCAGAGCCTGCGTCCTGGGCCTGGGTGGCAGTGGCATCAGTCACCGAGAGCTCTGGGCACAAGGCTGCTGACCTGTGGGCACAGACAGCATCCCGGCCGAGATGTCATGGCAGGATGCTGTGCGTCCCCTTCAGGTGTTACTTGGTGTGGCGGGATTCAGCACCCGACATTTGCTCTTGACTCTCAGCCCGTCTGTAATTCAGTTTCAACTTTTCCAGTTGTGTGTGTGGCTGTTTTTTGTGCTCAGGCTGTGGTGTTTCTGAATTACGTCAGCTCAAAGCCTCTCTTTAGGAGGACCTGAGTAAGAGTTGGGACTTGGTCGCAGCCAACGTTTGCTGGGGGCCTCCTGGGTGCCACACGTGGAGTTGAGACCTGGGGCAGCTTGAAGGGTTCAAAACCATCATTTAACAGGACAGGTCCTGTAGTCAAAGAGTGATGGGGACAGCCAGCTATTCCCAGCGCTCAGGGACGGAGAGCTTTTCAAAGGACGTGACGTTGGGACGTGACGTGCTCTTCCAAGAGGGGCTGAGGGGGCACTCGGAGGACACGAGGGCACCAGCAGGGGGTCGAGAGTGTGGAGCCTGGCCGTGTGGGGCCCTGGGACCCAGGACAGACAGCAGGACAGGCACTTGCAACCTGGTTGTGAAGGACCACTTTCTCCATGCTGAGGAGTTGGGGATTTATCTGCTCAACCATAGGAAACCATCGAAGGATTATTGCCAAGGAAGTCAGATCATCGAAGTTGTGTTTTCAAGAATATTGCTGGACGAAGGAAGGTGGTGGGTCAGCATGTGGGCAGGCTGGTGGCAGAGACCAGGTAGGTGGTCCTCGTGACCTTCCAGGCAGAAGTGATGATTCCGGCCTAGGAGAGCAGCCGTGTGAAGGAAGACTGGAGACGTTTCCGATGGACACGCACGGGAAGTTGGTGCCTTTCAGTGAAGAGGGGGAGGGGCGCGGGTGGGGGGCAGTTCGGGACGCCCCCGGTGGCTTGCCAACATCGGGGTCGGGGTTGAGGGTGCAAACACACCACTGGAGCTGAGGGCCTGAGGGCAGGGAGTTGGAACCCCTCGAGGAGACTTGAGTTATGAGGAGAACGCCAAGACCAGGATGCTGGGCGCTCCTCGTGCAGAGAGCAGAAACCGAGGGAGGGCCTGGAAACGGGCCCGGGAGTTGGGCTTTGGGGATCCTCAGCCAGCAATTCAGACCCATCCTGGGGGTAGTAGCTCTGTAACAGCGGAGGCAACTCCAGGCAGCAGCCATACGTGAACAAAGATGCTGGGAGCCTCCGGGGGCCTCACGTCTTCCCCGAGTGCGAAGCACGAGCAGGTGTGTAGGGAACACCTCCATGCACACATGTTCAGAGAGTGTAACGAAAGGTCAGTAAAACTTCGATTTTCTTGGGAAAGTAATATTGTCCTGGGAATCGGGAGTTTTCTCTTTCTCACCCTTACATTTCGTATCACATTATATTCTACATTGACAGAGCTGGCGGGAAAGGGGTCAAGTTCACAAGATGACATTTATCTTGAGTGGCGCTGAATAAATGATGAAAAATGATGTTTGCATGATAAGATGATGAAAGGGAAAATGGGGACCAGTTTAAAATGTTCTAAGCCTGCAAAGGTGACTTCAGAACACCCAGGGTTGTGTGTGTTTGGAAAACAATGCCTTGTGTGTGTCCACCGGCCTCGGGAGCAGAGCGATTTTGACCTTGAGCACGTCCAAAGCAAGACACATGGCCACGGCCTCTGGGGGTTATCGCGTCGGCACTTTCCCACTCTCAAATACCAGTCTGCAGGAGATTGACCCCCACTCCCGCCCCCAGCGTGGTCTGTGTCTTTTATTCCCACCCTGGGGACCCAGCCAGCAGTCCCTTTTTCTCCCTCTCCTGCGCTTCACGCCCACCTGGGTCTGCTGCAGACCAGAGTGGTGGCAGGGGACGCCCCTTGAGGGCCCAGTGAAATATGACACCCGGGCGGGATTCACTTCAGGCCGAGGTAAAAATGATGAAGAGCATTTAAAAATTATTTTCTATAGAAAATCGTTTAAAATGGACTATTTGTTTCATTTTACTTTGTCAGAAGTGTTTCCAAAGAAAGAGGGCAAATTCTTCTGCTTTTATTTTTTTGGTTTGCCCATTGTTAACACTTGCCACATTTGCTTTTTCTCTTTTTTATATCTAATCCACATCCATTTATGCACACACACGTTTTGATGGCATCGACTGGAAGTACAGACATCATGACACGTGACTCCCGACCCCTCATTCTCCATTACTGGTGATGCCATTACCGCACCTGAGAACATGAACATGCATTTAGTGACAGAGTCCAGCAGACAATTCCGTTTTCATACTGCCAGTTGTTCGAAACTGAATTTTCTATAGCTGTTTTTTTCCTAGACAAAATACAATCAAGGTTCAAACATTACATTTCCTTTTATTTCTCTTTTAGTATACAACACCCACCCCCGTCTAAAATTTCTCACGAAACTGGGCTTTGAAGAGTCCTGGCCGTTGTCACAACAAATCCTGGTGGGCTCCACGTAAACATGGTTGGGAAAATCACAGCCCGGTGACACTGGCGTCTCGGGACAGACAGTACGAAGCTCACAACTGGCCACGCTAATTACAGTCGAGGCCAGCAGACCTCCCCATGGCAAAGGTACGTTTTTACCTTTGTAATTATTAAGGGAAATTAGTCACCAAAAGTTAAGGACATCTTACAAAGGAAAAAAATGTGGCAAAACGTGTGTTTCCTGTTCCCACCAATATTTCGCCTAGTGGGTCAGGCAGGCGTTAATGATCCTTGCCAGGATCAATTATTACTTGCAAAATGGTCATTTTCTAGTCCTGTCATCCCTCCTACATTATTAACTGGCATTCTTCTTTAAAAATGGGTCTTCTTGGGCTTCCCTGGTGGCGCAGTGGTTGAGAGTCCGCCTGCCAATGCAGGGGACACGGGTTCGTGCCCCGGTCTGGGAAGATCCCACATGCTGCGGAGCGGCTAGGCCCGTGAGCCATGGCCGCTGAGCCTGCGCGTCCGGAGCCTGTGCTCTGCAACGGGAGAGGCCACAACAGTGAGAGG